GCATTTGTTGTCCATATCAAGTTCAAGGTTTCTTTATTGTCACATCCTGTTTTCCATAAAACTTTCCAGTTCAAGTAATAAAATTATGAACTGTAGAGCATGTATTTGTTTAATTTAATTTTATTTTATTTTTAGGTGATCCTGGCTGCGGCGGTACATTCACTGACACTGAGGGCATCATAATTTCCCCCAACTGGCCTAATAACTATGCCCACAACCGCCAGTGTATCTACTTGATTAGGCTGCCAGTGGGTGAAAAAGTGGCCCTTAACTTTACCCACATGGATCTAGAAACTCACAGTGGCTGCTCTTTTGACTATGTGGAGGTAAGAGTTGTTTGTCACATTTTATTGATGATTATGTCTAACATGCTTTCAACCTATCAGTGGTTTTACCAACATGGCCACAATCCAAAAAATGTTTTTAGCTAGTTTCCAGTTTGGGAATGTTTTGAAGGTGAAAGAAAACAACATTACCTGCTTGCCTTTTTAATGAGCGTTTTTTAATTGTTTTGGGAGCTTAGCATGACATTTGGTGTGTCAGAGGTTCAGTTCTCTCCTTGTCTCTGTTAGTGATAAGAATTCATCTTTTCAACCTTTATTTATACAGGGTAATCTCATTGAGCCACTAAGACTCATTCACAAGAGAGATCTGTTGTAAACAAAGAACGCAGCTGAGGTACAGACAACAATAGACGGTCATATAAAAGCATATTATATGAAAAGTAAATAAAATAAATGATATACAAATGAAACAAAACCAGCTACATTATAAATAGGGTTGGGCATCATTTTAATTTGAACGATTCTGGCTCTGATTTTGATCCCTTGTTTCGATTCCGGTTCCTATTGATTCTTGATTCCGATAGAGGCGGGGTTTTAAAAAAAGTTACATGGTTTAAATGAGCTAGCTAGCCACAGTTCTTCCTGGATGAAATAATTTTAACTTCTATTCAAATTTTAATTCTATGAACTTTTTACTATATATTTACTTTTTATTATATGCAGGTTAACACAAGGTCAACAACAGTACAATGAAATGTTTAGGATGAGAAGAACTTATTTGACTCGCTAAATACATAGAACAAACAAACAAGAAACACTAAAGCATGCAATACGGGTACAACGTAAAGTACCAAAAAGTGAAAAAGTAACTATAATATTTACAAGGTCCAAAAGAAAAAATAGTAAACAACAACATGGTAGAATGTAATGTTGCAAGCAGGAGGAATTTGTATCAGTAAGTATTTCAATGTAGTAATATAAGCTAAAATGCACATGATATATATTGCACATATCATATGCTACACATGTTGTGTGACAGGTTATTGCACAGGTAGTGAGCAATGCGATGAATTGAATTATTATGGTAAAGTAGTGAAATAGATACAGTGCAGCAGCAATAGGAGAGAACACTGGGAGATAGCCTTGTAAAACAACATATATGATTATGGTAATAATATTTACAAAATAAATGACTTGTTCGTTTTCACTAGAGACTCACTCATGTCTCAGACATTCCTCACTCAGAGAAACACCTGCCAAAAAACAGAGTAGTAATTTGCAGGTCAATATTCAGAAACGTGGCATTCAGGACACTAGCAAGTACATTGTCCTACCTGAAACTGCTGACTAAAGCTAAGGGTAAATACAATAAGGTTGTTGTTCATATTAGCAGTAATGGCACCTGGTTACGCCCATTGACAGTCACTGAAACTAATGTTGACTTAGGGTGTAAATTTGAAAAAATTATCTTGGGGATTTCAGTATTCATGTAGATGTTGAAAGTTATAGCCTAAATATAGCCCTTTAGCAGTCATTCATTTTAGCCACAATGTCCACAAACCTACTTATTCTCTTCCTCATACTCTTGATCTGGTTCTGACATACAATTCAGCAAGTAAGTATTTAATAATATATCCACACAATCCTGTTTTGGCTTACCATTTTTATTACCCTTAATTTTTACATTGATTGATTACATAACCTGTGAGTATATATTTCATTACAGTTGTCAATTTTCTCCAATTCCTGTCCAGGTACGTGATGGGAGTATGGAAACTGATCCTTTGATAGGGAAGTACTGTGGAAGCCTCCTCCCAGCCCCCATTGTCTCATCATCTAACTCTCTGTGGATACGCTTCAAGTCTGACAGTTCAGTCAATCGAGCTGGTTTCAGGGCTGTCTACACTGTTGGTGAGAATTCCACATTAACATCATATTACGCTGTGTTAATGAGTTCAATAATTTGTTATTTTTAAACCATGGTATACCAGGATCAAACAGTTGTTTGGCTGACCCATTTTAAACTGCCATATTCCTTAGTGTGAATGATTTTAGTGAGCTGATAGAATCCATCCATTATCTTTACCCGCTTCTTCCTTTCCGGATCATGGGGGTCGCTGGTGCCCATATCCAGCCATCATTGTGCCAGAAGTGAGGTACATGTTGGACAGGTCACAAGTCCATCACAGGGCAAGCTGATAGAATGTAAAAAAAAAAAAAAGAGTAACAGAGTTTCCTTTGGAAGTGAATATTGGTCAAGCTTGTGAGCCTGCTGGTGACAATACAGTATGTTCACAATTTGAATTCATGCAGTAAGGAGTAGAGGTCACAAAGGTGCAGGACTTAAAGTACTTGGGGTCAACTGTCCAGGAAAATGGACAGAATGGTAAAGAAAATGGAGTCCAGGCAGAATGGAGTGGATGGAGAAAAGTTTCAGGAGTGATTCGTGGCAAAATAGTGTCAGCAAAGGTCAAAGGAAAAGTTTACAAGCCAGTGGTGAGACCAGCTATGTTGTATGGTCCGGAGACAGAGACATGGACAAAAAGACAGGACTGGGTGTCATAAATGAAGATGTTGAGGTTCTCCTTAGGAGTAAGAAGGATGGATAAGATTAGGAATGAGATCATCAGAGGGACAGCACAGGTTGAACATGTCACGTTTCTGCCCCTCCTGTCATGCTGTCTGTCATGTTTCTCATCTGCTCCTTTCAATCTTCATGCCATGATCACATCCTCTGTCATCTGCTCAGCTCACTCTTCACCCACTGATCATCAGTGCTAATTCACCACACCTGTTCATGCCCATATTTAAGGACTACTCTCAACATTCCTCGCCACCAGATTATTAAACCTTTCATGGCCCCTGGCATATCAAGCTTTTCTTTTCCCTGTTTCACGCCTGACTTTCATGCCTTGCTCTCTGGATTACAACCTCATGCCTGTTTTGTGGATTCTGCACTTTGCCTGCCCCTTCCCTGATTTGGATTACTCCTTCTACCCATGGTATGAACCCCTGCTTCCTCTTCTAAGACCACGCCTCAAGGTTTACATTTTAGATTTATTACTATGACTGACTCGCTGTGTATGACCCTCGCCTGTGCTCTGGACTGTGTTTTGGGATTTCCTCCTCCATACAACATTCCACTCAGCTCTGCTTTCCACAGCCACTCTGTTGTCACCTACGGTGAAGTCACCCCCTCTTGCCGGTGAAGATCTGTCACCGTGAATTTTTCCAGCTACTAAATAGAAATAAAGACTTCTTGCTTTTTTATTCTTGTGTCTGGCTGATTTCGAATCCTAAAACTGGTTCTTGTCAGAACAACTGGGAAATAAAGTTGGAGAGGCCAGACTAAGAAAGTTTGGACATGTCCAGAGGAGGGACAGTGGGTATATTGGTAGAAGGATGTTAGAAATGCAGCTGCCAGGAAAAAGACAAAGAGGAAGGCCAAAGAGGAGATATATGGATGCAGTTAGAGAGGACATGGAGGTAGTTGGAGTGAGGACAGAGGATGCGGAGGACAGAGTGAAATGGAGGAGGATGACTCGCTGTGGAGACCCCTGAAGAGGGAACAGCTGAAAGAAAATTGACCACTGATCAGAGATGTGATTGTCCAGAGAACGTCATCATGGTTTCACACATTATGATTTATGAATTTGTTTGCTGAATAAATTAGGATTCACATGGGCTATACTAGTAACTGCTCATTGTTTCTCTCTGTTTCCAGCTTGTGGAGGAACTTTATCGGGGACAGGACAGTTTCGTTCTCCCTACCACCCAAATTCCTATCCCCACAACAAAATCTGTGAGTGGGTCATTAACCAACCAGAGGGCTATGTGGTCACACTCAACTTTCTCGCTTTTGACATCGAGGGAGGCTCCTGCCAGTTTGACTTTGTTGAGGTAAAGTCAAATTATTTTGGTTAATCAATTAAAAAAATAAGCATTAAAACAATATCTGCTCTGCAATTTACCCTCTTTTTTGTCTTGATTTAATCCATCCATTATCTTTCACCCGCTTCTTCTATTTTGGGTCACGGGGGTCGCCGGTGTCCATGTCCGGCAATCACTGTGCGAGGGGCGGGGTACACCCTGGACGGGTCGCAAGTCCATCACAGGGACACATAGAGACAAACGAGACAAACAACCATTCACTCTCTCACTCACACCTAGGGACAATTTAGAGTTACCAATCAGCCTAACATGCATGTTTTTGGTCTGTGGGAGGAAATCGGAGTACCCGGAGAAAACCCACGCATGCACGGGGAGAACATGCAAACTCCACCCAGAAAGGCCTCCGGACCTGGATTTGATCCAGGGACCTGCTCGCTGAGAGGCAGCAGCTCTACCAGTTGCGCCACCGTGCTGACCCTTTGATTTAATCATTTCAGTTCAAAGAGAAAATAATGTCGATAGGATGAAAAAATTAACATTCTTGTCAATAAACTCAGCTGTATTCATAATTTTGTAACACTTCAGCAAACCCAAAGCAATCGCTAAGCACTTGCATGCACATTAGTGGCACATTATTTCAGTGAGAAGAATATATAGATATTTATATATTTAGATATATTATCAGATATATATTTCATTTTTACAAATCTATTAATTGCATATTCTAAATAACCCAATTCTGCAATAATTTTACTTAAAAAAAAACATTTTGTTAATTTATGTTTGTTATTAGTAAACAAAGAGACTGTTGCTAATTAGTTATCAGCTTAAAAAGCTCTGCTCAGATGTGTCTAATACTGTGAAATTCAACATAATTAACTTTTCTGTCTGTTTTTATGTAACAATAAACTTAACTGTCATTAAGGCCTAAACAATAACAAAGTAGCACTCTTGTCCCACGTTCTGAAGGAAGGTTTTGCTTTAAACTAATACATTATTAGGTTCAACCTATTTCCATTTCCATCGTCTACCACTTATCCATTGAGGCAACAGGTCCAGGAGAGAAACCCAGAAATCCCTCTCCCCAGTGACACTTTCCAGCTCCTCCTGGGGGACCCAAGTCAATCCCAGGCTGGAGAGGATATAAAATCTTTAGAGCAATTCCTGAATCTGCCATGGGCCTTTTTACCAGTATCTGTAAAAACTCCAGATGAAGGTGTCTATGAGGCATCCTATTCAGATGCCCGAACCACCTCAACTGATTCCTTTCGATGCAAAGGAGCAGTGGCTCTTCAAAGAAAGAATGAAACCTTGAATAACAGACTGCTTGCACTTGTTTACGCCTTTTCTAGGTCAGGGATGGGTCTACATCTAGCTCTCCCCTAATGGGGACATTTTGTGGTGCTACACCTCCTCCCAGACTCCAGTCCACACAGAGATCTATGTATATCCAGTTCAGGACCGACTCCTCTGTCAGCAACCTTGGCTTTGAAGCGTCCTATGGCTCTGCCATAGAGGGTGAGAAAATACATCTTCCACTATTTCATTGAAATTATTACAGTGAAATCAAGAACATATGAGCTTATACAGTGGGGAGAACAAGTATTTGATACACTGTTGAATTTTCAGGTTTTCCCACTTGCAAAGCTTGTAGATGACTGTAATTTTTATCATAGGTACTCTTCAACTGTGAGTGATGGAATCTAAAACAAAAATCCAGAAAAATACAATGTATGATTTTTAAACAATTAATTTCCATTTTATTGTGTGAAATAAGTATTTGATACACCAGAAAAATTAAACTTAATATTTGGTACAGAAACCTTTGTTTGCAATTACAGAGATCAGACGTTTCCTGTAGTTCTTGACCAGGTTTGCACACACTGCAGCAGGGATTTTGGCCCACTCCTCCATACAGATCTCCTCCAGAGCCTTCAGGTTTTGGGGCGGTCGCTGGGCCACACGTACTTTAAGCTCCCTCCAAAGATTTTCTATGGGATTCAGGTCTGGAGACTGGCTAGGCCACTCCAGGACCTTAAGATGTTTCCTACGGAGCCACTCTTTAGTTGCCCTGGCTGTGTGTTTTGGGTCGTTATCATGCTGGAAGACCCAGTCACGACCCATCTTTAGTGCTCTTACTGAGGGAAGGAGGTTGTTGGCCAAAATCTCACGATACATGGCCCCATCCATCCTTCCCACAATATGGTGCAGTCGTCCTGTCCCCTTTGCAGTTAAGCATCCCCAAAAGAATGATGTTTCCACCGCCATGCTTCACGGTTGGGATGGTGTTCTTGGGGTTGTACTCATCATTCTTCTTCCTCCAAACATGACGAGTGGAGTTTAAACCAAAAAGTTCTATTTTTGTCTCATCAGACCACATGACCTTCTCCCATTCCTCCTCTGGATCATTCAGATGGTCATTTGCAAACTTCAGACGGGCTTTGACATGCGTTGGCTTGAGGAAGGGCACCTCGCGTGCACTGCAGGATTTTAATCCTTGACGGCGTAGAGTGTTACTGATTGTTTTCTTTGAGACTGTGGTCCCAGCTCTATTCAGGTCGTTGACCAGGTCCTGCCGTGTAGTTCTGGGCTCATTCCTCACCTTCCTCAAGATCAATGATGCTCCACGAGGTGAGATCTTGCATGGCGCCCCAGACCGAGGGAGATTTTCCGTTATTTTGTATTTCTTCCATTTTCTAATAATTGCACCAACTGTTGTTGCCTTCTCACCAAGCTGCTTGCCTATTGTCCTGTAGCCCATCCCAGCCTTGTGCAGGTCTACAATTTTATCCCTGATGTCCTTACACAGCTCTCTGGTCTTGGGCATTGTGGAGATGCTGGAGTCTGATTGATTGAGTGTGTGGACAGGTGTCTTTTATACAGGTCACGAGTCCAAACAGGTGCAGTTAATACAGGTAATGGGTGGAGAACAGGAGTGCTTCTTAAAGAAGAACTAACCTGTCTGTGAGAGCCAAAATTCTTACTGGTTGATAGATGATCAAATACTTATTTCACACAATAAAATGGAAATTAATTATTTAAAAATCATACATTGTATTTTTCTGGATTTTTGTTTTAGATTCCATCACTCACAGTTGAAGAGATAAAAATTACAGTCATCTACAAGCTTTGCAAGTGGGAAAACCTGAAAAATCAACAGTGTATCAAATACTTGTTCTCCCCACTGTATGTAATTGTCTACTCATTAAACTTCTTTGAATAGAGAATGTTTTCATTACATGATTCCACATATTTCATGGTGATGAGGGATATTCATCCAGTCAAGTATTGACTGTTTTCAACTAATCTTAAATCTGCATCGTTGTTTGGAAAAAGGTTTTCAAACTCAGACATACACATAAACACATCAACACAAAAACACACAAACACAAATTTATCATTACAGCATAATACAAGCTATTTGTAATATATGGAGCAAAACAAAACCAGTTTAATTTTAAGTCGGTTTGTTTAAGGCTTAGTTCAAGACCAATTGTCAATGAGTTGGAAGACAATCTTACGTTACAAATTTTAATACGTTTATACCATATTTGTGTAGCTTTAGTCATGTAATATTTACCAAATTTATTTGTTTTTATTTTACATTTCAAAAGTTTTTGTTTTTGTCAAGCTTTTGCAAAGTCTCATCTCCAATGTTTTCTTGTGTCAGGTTGTGGGGCAACCCTGACGAGTCCCTCCGGCACCATAACAAGCCCTGGCCACCCAAGCAGCTATCCACATGGTGCTAATTGTACCTGGTACATTAACGTTCCAGCAGGCAACCTGATTCGACTGTCGTTTGACTCATTCAACCTGGAATACCACGCTAATTGTAATTTTGACTACGTTGAAGTATATGACAATGGTACGGTGGAGACTGGCAACAAGCTTGGCAGGTACAGCACAAGAATTTTTATTTCAGTTTTGTATTGACAACTTAAACATAAATGTATCTAAACTACAATACATCATATTACTATTATTAACAGACATTTACACGGAACCACCTAATCAAATGTAAACAAAGTCTTCCAAATTCACGTACAGATGTCTTGGGATTTGGCTCCGTTCCCCACTCTAACATGAAACTCGCGTCATTACTCTGCTCTACAAAGTCAAATCCAAAATAGGATTGCTCTTCCGAAAACAAATGCTCACTAAGTCATCCTGCTAAACATCTTTTGGTAAAAATGACAATCTTTCCCATCTTCAACTATGGTGACATCATCTACAGAACCACTTCCAAATCCCTCCTTCACAAACTGGACACCCTTTACCATGCAGCCATTCGATTTGTCACCAGCGCTCCCTTCGGCGCTCATCAGTGGACTCTGTATTCCCTGGTGAACTGGCCCTCTCTTTACTTTCACAGACAAACAAACTGGTTTCTGCTGATCTTTAAAAGCCTAACTGTTACAGCCCAATCCTGCCTCTATTTGTGACACAATATCCAAAGCAAAATTTGTACTCTTCACTCCAGCAGCTGTATTAACCTACTGTACAGTATGTATTCCTCAAACATGCACTTCCTTTGGCCGTTTATCATTTTACTTGTCTGCTGCTAATGACTGGAACTTTTACAACAAACTCTAAAACACTTCTTTTATCCCATCTACATGTTTTAAAAGCTTAGGGAGAGCATCACTTCTTGACGACCGTTGCACATGTTTTAGCGATCTCTACAACTTCTGTTGTTACTTGCTTGCACCATGAGACTAGTCCCAGTTCTTTGATTGTTACCTATCCACATGTTCTGCACAATCTGGAGTTTAACTGTCGGTTGTTATGTGTTGTTTGTCTGCTGTTCTACCACTTCTGTATTTGCAGCCTCTTGGCCTCATTGAAAGTGAGAATTTATTATCAGTTGAATAACCCAGTTAAATTAAGGTTAAATAAAATACATTTGACTGAGGCAACAAAAGTAGTCAGAGTGAAGTTGTAAATATTTTGGGAAGCAGAGGTCGTATTGATTTGTGTTCTTCATGTGCAGGTATTGTGGACGGTCAGTGCCGCCATCCCTCACAAGTTCTGACAACCAGCTGACCCTGCTATTTGTATCTGATTTGAGCTTAAGCCAAGAAGGGTTTTCTGCCAGTTATGTATCAATAAATGCCACCACAGGTAATAAATAAAACTGTCAAATAAATTGAGTTTTTGATAATTAAATATTTTAGATGGTTTGATTTAAACCATATATAACCAGCCATCATATACTATATATATATATATATATGTATATGTATGTATATATGTGTATATATACATACATATACTGTATATAATGGTTCATGCATACTTCTTTACTTTAAATTTGGATAAATACACAATATTAAATAATATGTTTTTCTATATTTCTCCTTAGACTGTGGTCAGATCCTGACCTCGCCAACAGGTTCGTTCAGTTCACCTAACTACCCGGACAACTACCCAAACAGCAGAGACTGTGTCTTTAAGATCATTGTTGAGCTCAACATGCAGATTATGCTGAACTTTACAGCATTTGAGTTAGAGGGCTCTTTTCCAACTTGCGCCTACGACTTTGTAGAGATCAGGTAAGCAAAATTTCCACAACAGAATTTGGCTTTCAGTGAAACAAAAATACATTTGTAATTTTTCTACAGTTTGGATGTGGACTCTAATAATTGAAAGCTAGTCATTTACCACCATAATATTTTTAGTTTAAACTTTAGGTTTTTGTAAGTAGTTCCATTGATTAAAACTGAAACTGAGAAAAGGACGGTATTATTAAAACATATAATTGTTGACATAGCACTTGCAACCTTACCAACAAAACATCCATTCATCCATTATCTTTTACCCACTTTTTCCATTTATGGGTCGCGGGGGTCACTAACCATGTCCAGCAATCACTGTGCGAGGGGCGGGGGACACCCTGGACAGGTCTCCAGTCCATCACAGGAACACATGGAGACAAACGAGACAAACAACCTTTCACTCTCTCTCTCACACCTAGGAACAATTTAGAGTTACCAATCAGCTTAACATGCATGTTTTTGATGTGTGCGAGGAAACCGGAGTACTCGGAGAAAATCCACACATGCACGGAGAGAACATGCAAACTCCACCCAAAAATTTCCCCTGGCTGGGATTTGAACCAGGGACCTGCTCGCTGAGAGTCAGCAGCTCTACCAGTTGTGCCATCATTCTGCCCGCCAGCATAACGATTTTTTATTAATATTAATAATATTGTTATTATTATTATTTTATTTTTTACTAATATATGTGGTGGAAAAAGAAGGCGAGCCTTTGATCAGGAGATCACTGGTTCAAAATCTGTCAACATTTCCAAATTCTGGAAAAGCTGAAGCACCCACATCTTTTTCCACCCTCATTTGTCCCACTCTGGGCCCTTACCACCCCCAACTGCTCGTTGGGCGCTCTAGATGACAGCCGCTTGCTTCTCACATGTAGGCTGTGGAAGTTCAGTGGTCAGTGGTTGCATCAGGAACAATTGGCATATCATTAATTTTAGTTCAATTCAATTCAGTTTATTTATATATCACCAAGTCACAACAGAAGTCGTCTCAGTTCACTGAACAGAAACATTCATATATAAAATAACAATTTAACATTATTTATCTGAGGAGCAGACTGTTTTGACTGGCTGGATTTGAGAGGAACAGATACACAATGGCAGGTCAAGAATCACATGTTAAGATAGAAATAGTATCAAATGAAAACTATTCAATTTTAACAATTCATTTAAATAAATGAGGTCAGTTTGTCTTCCAGTAGTCTAAGCCTTAGGAAGCATAACAAGCCCACCCTAACTATAGGATTTATCAAAAAGGAAAGTCTTAAAACTGGACAAAGTGTCAGCCTCACGTACAGAAACCGGAAGTTGGTTCCACAAGAGAGGAGCCTGATAACTGAAAGATCTTCCTCCCATTCTGGTTTTGGAAACTCTAGGAACCACGAGAAAACCTGCAGTCTGAGAGTGAAGTGCTCTGTTAGGAAAAAATATGCAACAATTGAGAAATGGAGCAGTCAAAATGAAAAAAAAAAGACATCCATCCATTATATTTAACCGATTCTTCCTTTTTTGGGTTGTGGGGATTACTGGTGCCCATGTCCAGCCATCACTGTGTGAGAGGCGGGGGACACCCTGAACAGGTCTCTAGTCCATCATAGGGACACAGAGACAAACAACCATTCACTCTCTCACTCACACCTAGAGACAATTTAGATTTACCAATCAGCCTAACATGCATGTTTTTGGTCTGTGGGTTTAAACTGGAGTACTCGGAGAAAACCCACACATACATGGAGAGAACATGCAAACTCCACCCAGAAAAGCCCCCTGACTGGGATTTGAACCAGGGACCTGCTCGCTGAGAGGCAGCAGCTCTACCAGTTTTGCCACCGTGCTTCCCAATTAATAATAATAATATTATTATTATTAATGATAATAATAATAATCTCTATCTTTTTTTTTCTTGTTTAACATTAAGTGGACATCAATGGTATGAACACAGAAATATTACATCATTACATTAAACTGTCCCTTTTCAGCCATTCTAACTAACTTAAAGTGTTGTAAATTAATAGGACAGTAATAATATGAGCAACGTTTGATTTTTCAGGGATGGAGGTTATGAGACATCTCCATTCATTGGTAAGTTCTGTGGCGATCAAAAACCTCCAGTTCTGATGTCCCATAGCAACCGTTTATGGGTTAGGTTCCGCTCTGATTTTATAACCACACGTCGAGGATTTACTGCCCACTGGGATGGAACACAGACAGGTAAGGATTTAGTGTTTTGTATGTTATTAGCTTTATATTTACACATTTTGTGCTTCTTTACATGCCATTATTTAACAGTTTTATTAGTGGAGGGGCAAAGTGAAGGTGGATTTGATTGGGGAGGAGGTCAATGGTCTATTTAAACTATTAAAATTGCTGGTTCCAGTCCTCCAGTGTGCCAAAGTGTCTTTGGGGAAGAAGTCCACAACCCCACCCTCATTACTGATTACCACCAATATTTTGATCAGCGTAAAAGTACAGTTTGTAGTACAGTACATATAGTTTTGCAGTACATAATCTGCCAGTAGTTTTTATAATAGTAAAAACTTTGTGTGTATGGGAAAACTGTTGTTACAAAATTTATTCTATCTACGAGAGCTTTAAGTTACTCTAAATTTTATGAACAAAATTTACTATACAAGCAAAAATAGTCCATCCATGTATTTTCTGTCTTGCTTACAGTACTCAGATGCAATATAGATGCTCCTAATTGAGACATTTTAGACAAGTCTGTCTTGATTACACTCAGTCAGATCATTGCATTATATCTTTAGATGGAATAATTCCTTTTAAAGTGCCTTATTTATTTAATTTTTTTATTACAGTACCCATTTAATTTAATCATTTTATATTTTAAGGTTGTGGAGGAACACTGACAACAACATCTGGAGGATTTTCTTCTCCTAACTACCCTCTGCCGTACCACCCCAATTCAGAGTGCTACTGGCACATTAAGACCAGCCAGGGCAGTGAACTCCAGCTTTCTTTCTCAGATTTTCACCTGGAGTCCAGCTCATCTTGCACCTTTGATTACCTAGCAGTGAGTAACATACTGTATCTTAACAAAATGTAGGTGCACTGGTTAAAATTATTTACTATTTTGCAACAGGATATTTAATGTAGAGACAGTGCAGTCAGTGTTATGCATGTAGTATGTAATATGTTCAATCAATTAATAAATCAATCATTCAACATTTATTTATAGAGCCCTTTACAACCACCCAAAAGATGCACAGAGCACTTCACAGTACAAAAGTTAAAACAATTAAAACAACAATACTAACATGCCAGAGTGCCACTAGGCATTAAAAGCCTGCCTGGATAAAAAGGTTTTAAGATTAGATTTAAAAAGGCCCAGATCAGTGAGGAAGCGCAAGCCTTGAGGTAATTGGTTACACAGTCTTGGTGCAGCAACCAAAAAAGCCCGTTCACTCCAATATTTGTATTTAGACTTGAGGGAAAACCGTAAAGATGTATTAGTTAGTCATAAGGTCTTCTCATACTCACAAAAAGCTACTAGATCTTGACCTAATAAGGTGGGGTGAGACCATAAACAAGTAAACAAGTGAACAATAAAAGTTAGAAATCAATTCTAAAACAGCCTGGAAGCCAATGGAGATAAAATAAAACGGGGGTGATGCCCTTATGTCTGTGGGTTTTGGTTAAAAGTCAGGCAGCAGTGTTAAGTTGAAGGCATTTGATGGAGGAATGGTAGATGTCAAACCTTGAGCTGATAAAAGCATGAATGGCCTTTTTCATGTCAGAACAATTAAACATAATACAATGCTGATGAAGACATAACTGATAAAAGCTGGCTTTGACTACAGAGACTATATGTTTATCGAATTCCAAATCCTTGTTAAAGGTCACTGCCAAGTTTTTAACTGTGGGTCTGAACAAGGATGTCAGAGCATCAAAGTTACAAGGAGCATAATCACCTAAATACTTTGTAAATACATTTAATCTTTCCTACATATAAAAACAAAACAATTTGGTCGAAGCCACAGTTTAACATTGTTAATACAAACAAAATGTTTCAAGGTTACTAATTCTAGGCTTCATGGCCAAATAAATCTGTAAGTCATCCGCATAACAGTGTATAGAAAAGGGTTGTATGACAATAAACGCAAGTGACAGCATATAAAGAATAAAAATGAGAGGACCAAGAATAGAGCCCTGCAGCACACCAAAAGAAAGAGTGGCAGTAGAGGAAGACAGATTACCCATCATGACAGAAAATGTTCTGTTGGTCAAGTAGGAGGTGAACCACTTGAGATCTGAACCAAATGTATCAACATGGTGTTTAAGAAGAGACAGAAGGACAGTGTTGTCCACTGTATCAAAAGCCTCTGTAAGGTCCAACAGCACTAAAGCAACAGGGTGCACTTTGCATCCATGGGCATGCCAACACCATTATATATCATATGTTATAAATTATTATCCAGGACACGGCAGTCCTAAATAGTTCAGGCAAGATTCTTGAAGACATTTCACCTCATCCCTAAAATGTTTTCAGTTCTGATTGTGATTTTGCAATTCCAGGTTTGTAAGTTGGTATTTTATTGACAAAAATTGGGCCATAGATCACATGAGTCACTGACCCATCTTACCATCCTGTGACTCGTTTGGGTTAGTGATACCTGTTGAATTATTTCTAATGAGGCCAACATGAGCTTTTTTGGTCACATTTCACGATGTGGATGGTTGTGAAACTACCTGGAGAAACAAGTCAAGGCTGAACTATAGATGTAAAAAAGATTGTACCTTGGGCTACTTCCTCTGTTTAATGTTGGTTATTCATATTTATTGTTGATGGCTTTTTTCACCATCTTCCCTGTCTACAATCTGCTCATTACTGTCCTCAAAGCATTGTCCCTTATCCTTGAGATATAGATGAAATTCTGAGTCTTGACCCTATTAGCTGGATCTCCTGTGTTGTTCCATCTCTTTGTTTAAGTCTTGTTTAGTTTTTTCCAATAAAGATGTCTGAAAACTTCTAACTGCACTGGACTGCATATACCACACTGCTGAGTGTGTGTTTTGGTGTTTCATCTTTGGGATTAACCAGTATGAGAATGTTCTTAGGTTGGAAGTATACTGGAATATTGGTGTTGGAAAAAATCCCACTGAATATCTTAGATGCTCCATGTCTCGTTCTTCCAGATCCATACAGGATGACAATGTTCTTTTGTTTTTTCTTTTCTTCTTCATTTTATTGAGTTGAGCATTTTCTCAGTTTCCAAGATGACTTAACGTAAGCCCAGTTAGGGTATTCACAAGTTCACATAAGTACTTCCTTGATGTGTTTGTGTTCTTTGTCCTTCTCCTCTGTCCTTGTGGAAACCTGTACAGCTTGATGATGAGGTTTGATGGCTGTTTGTGTTTCAGTGGGTGGTGAAAATCAAAAATCAGATAGTGGTGTGAGATCTGTATGTAGCCTTTATGGTTTCCACATCTCTAAATATGCACATAACAGACAAAAAAAGGTATAATTCTCCCTGAAATTTTTTTTGGTCCAATGAATTATTTTTGTAAAAGCTCCCTCTTCTTTAGCTTGAATATTTATTTAGGTCTCATCCTCATTTAAACCAGTAGTTCTCTGTTGTTCCTCAAAGAAGTTCAAGTTTTTTTTTTTACCACTTCCTCCATGTAGAGATTAGCAACAATGGGAAAACCTACATATCCCAGGGCACAAGCATGCTCTTGTCTGTAAAATTTGTCATTGTATTTGAAAAATAATGTGGTATGGTATGCTGTGTGGCCTTTCTTTTCTGGAATGGAATACAGGGGAGGTGGCCACAGGTTTCTTCTTTCCAATACCTGTGTTGCAGCCATGTCTCGTTCTTCCAGATCAGTTTGACAAGTATCCACTAGCTGAAACATGTGACCAAAGTGGTCTCATTAGAAAACATTTAA